AAATAAAACATACACACGATGAACATGAATGGATGTGTTTGCGAAGCAGAAAATTAAATACAGCATCATCTTCAATAATAAATGAAACGACGACGCATAGAGTCAACGTTACGAACCACACTTTACTGGTGAAAACTGGTGACCATTGCGAAAGAAAAAGGGATTCGAAGAAATGTGCAATATAAAGACAAAGTTTGAGGATTTTCTTACATATGTGCGCAAATAAAAGAACATCGCTATTTCGGATTTCAAATCAGTTGATCGCTGAATTGGAACGCTTCATCGAATTCCAAAGGAACAAAAAACAAGCAAACAAATTCCATTAATTTATTGGAGCTCTTATCGGCTTTTTGCCAATGCTTCGGTAAGAGAAGAGTCAACATATTCACACAAATGACATTGGATGTTCGGCATCCAACGATGGATTATGTTACATCAAATCCACAAATGTATCCGAATCAACAACAAACGCAAAGCAAAACAAAGCAATAAAATGCATTTCTCAACTGTCATCGCTTGATCCGATTTGGACACTTTTCCATTGGCTTGATAAAACTGGCAAAGTTGCCGAATTGTTTCATCTTGATTGTGTATTCTTAACTGAAGATTGTGTGTTCTTGCGATGCATTTCGAAAATGAAATTCCATTTTAAAGGACATCGTTTTCGAAAATCGAATGTAACAACATTTAGATAAACGGGCATTCAGTTTAGTTTATCGAATTGACCATGAAACAGAAGAAATGTGAGATGGAAGCTATCCACATGAATTGAGCATTTCTTGTGATTTTCACCGTGAATTGCTATACTCCTTTCCAACATCAGTTGGAATCGAAGCCATTTTTCTTTAGGTTCCTTCGAACCATAGAGCGTTTCTTTGAATAATTTATTTGGATACAAAAAATTCTCGCATGAATGTCACTAATGGAAAGCTGTACTTTTGAAGAAATTTATTATGTATGCAATCTGAAAAGAAGATTTCACACCAAAAGCGATTTCAATGTCCATGTAGAAAACCGAAAAATTAGCCGAATGCATTGAATGCAACTAATTCCACTTCTCAAACGATGAATTCTCTCTCTCTCTGTGTGTGTGCTCCATTTTCTGAATTGCGAAAATTATGAAGCAATTTCCATAAGCTTTTCGATAGATCCAAGGATTAAGTATGCGGCTGTTGCGTTTTGCATCAAGTTGAATGGTAAGCATAAGCACCGACTAATTATTATTTATAATGAACACGAACAAGGAAATATGCGGGAGCATGCATTTGCACTTGAAGCGCTGCGCTGCACCGAAAGCCGATTATAAATATAACTAGTTTGGTTTGGGTGAAAGTCAAGGCAAGCTTTTTCGTCACAAAATAGATAGCCGGGATTAATTTATAAAGTGCATATTTATCTTTTGGCCATGGCAAAGTGTTTGGCAAAGTCTTTTCGGGGTAATGAGAGGTCCAGTGTACGAACCACAAATTTATGCGAAACACCAACTCGTTTTTAGCAACTAATTAAGCGGTATTTACATTTTCTTACCCATTCAAACGCCGAATGGCTTATAAATTTGTTTATTTTAATTGCATCGCAAAAATATTTTCCTCTTGACGTGCAACAAGATGAAAGAACACTTTTCAAACGTAATTGAGTCAATTCATGAGAAATTTGGGTTGTCCGAAGAAATTTGAGAATCTTGAAAAGAATTTGAGACTTTTCTCTCTGCGAGCACACACATTTCAATGACGCAGTCTTAGCTTACGACTCTCGCGTTCATATTTTCGATCTTCTTTCCAGGTTATCAATTTGTAAAAACGTTCCTTCCGCTTTTGTGCGCACTCTATAAAGAAAGTAATTGTGAAGCCCGTGTGCTCGAGTTTGTCACACTGACTCGTTTCTTTTGGGTTGTGTTGGAATAAAGTATTCCGTTTGTGTCTACAAAGGTTGTTAAGACCTGAAGTATGAATTTGTTTGTCGAAAACATGTGTTAATGTACACATTACTCACACTCAGTGTCAGCTATAAATAGAAGATAACAGCAAATACCAGATTGTATTATGGTTTTTTCTTCTCATCGCTGTGTTCATTCATACACTGCCTCGAAATTTGTCGTCGCGGTGTATTTTCCTCCCCATTTCTCGTAATTCCATTCAAATAAATTTAATTTAATCCTCATTTTAAAGAATAACGCGTAAATACTCACTGCCATGGAGATGTACACATTTCCGTGTATTCGAGTTTTTTTTTTCGCTCATTCGAACTCGGGGCGAAACAAAAAATGCGCATGAAAAAGTATGAAAATGTGGTTTTAAGTCTTTGGCCACATGCATTTTTATTTATCATTCGCCATTGAATCAAGCGAATTTTGTGTATGTTGCTTTTTTGTGTGTGTGCGCGCAATAATGTGTTCGCATTTGGCGTTCGTTCGTTTCAAATTAAATGCATTAGAGTTTATTATACTCTAATGTAATTTCGACAAAGTGTTATTGGCTGATGAGCATAGTGTATCCACAGGCGGAACCACACCAGGTTGAAAATTTCTCTCGTATTTATTTGACTTTCCCTTTATAAAATCTTTTTTTTTTGTTCTCATTCACATTTTTAAATTTAAAAAAAAATAATAGGAGCATTGCCATACGCGCGCGAACGATAACAAACTCTTTTTGAAAGCGTTTTATCCATTTACGAAACAAACATTTATTATATCCGGGGCACAACACATTACCGTTAATAAAAATGTTTTCTCGTTACTGACCAACAAATTACGGTTTTCATATTTCCAATTTTGTTTTCGTTTTTATTTGCAACAATCCCAATGCTGCTGCGACAGAGAGAAAGAGAGAGAGAGAGAGAGAGAGAGAGAGAGAGAGAGAGAGAGAGAGAGGAGAATAGAACGGAAAAAAATCGACGCTACATTTATGGCTTATATTCTGGTCGTATACATAAAAATTCATTTGTGATAAAGATTTTTTTTTATATATTCAACATCAAAGTGCATATCTTCATATTATTTCATCGTCAGTGGCGCGTTTTTTCCCTGCTGTTCTTTTCTCTCTGCATTTTCTGCCGAGTATTTTCCATACCGGCAATTTGCATTATATTTTCCGTGGAAAGGCATGAAAAGACCTTTTGGAATTAATGATAATGGATCGAAAGATTGGCGGGGAAGGGAATTAAACGAGAGGAGGAAAGTAGCCAATTTCAGTTTTTAACTAAATTCCATGATAAAATACTCGACCGATATATTCGATTAAGTTCATTAAATTCCCATAATTACTCGAATTACAAACGCCATCACAACGGGATGCGGAGCAAAAGTAACGTGAGAAAACAGACCATCAAACAAAAAAGATCGATGTGATCAAAGTTCGAACACGTATTTATGCCGTCATCCGCTAGAAAGCCAATAAATTTTATCATCTCTCTCTCTCTCTATTGTGCTGCATTGAGAGAAACAAAAAAAATACAGGCGAACTTTCTACGCTCAATAAATTATATCTCTGCCGAAAAACTCCAACGAAACTTGATTCGACCCGAAAAGTCTTGGTCGTGTGGCTTGAGTGCACAGGAAGCATAAAGCGCCTCACTCTGACACCGAACAACCGGTTTTAATGTTCATTGTGCAAATAATGGATACGCAATGCAGTTAATTTAAAAGTTGTGCACACGTACCAACATAAAATGAAATCTATCCCAAACATAGACAGGCACACAAACACAATATTCCACCTCACATTCACAAGTGGCAGTTCATAGAGCGAAGTTTAACAGCGTTGCTGGTTTCCAGCATTGCTATTTGAGCACCTCAAAATATTCGGTGGAGAATATTTTAATGTCCTTTTAATACTTTATGGTGTCAAATGATATGCTTGCAACAGCAAAACATCCCAAACCCTTCGGCCGAGCAACAACTAAGCAACTAAAAGTTCATTTCTGGTGGCCATGACAGACAAATCGGTTGCCAAGTAACCGTGATGCAGACTTGATGCAAGAAAATTACATGAATGCAACTTGGGAAAATGTATAGAAATAACTTAACCTCTCTCACGCTCTGGCCAATGCAATTTATAGTCATAATGGAAATTTATGCTTTTGGTCGGTTGTGTTGAGGTGTTGAAAGGAAATCAAAATGAATGGTAAACGAAGCGAACAGCTTATCATAAACACCAACAATCTCCATATATGTGATGTTGATGATAATAATAATCCAAAATGCTCTTTGTATTCCGTAGATTTTGATACAATTTTCAGTTGGCTTTAATTCTTCGAAAACATTTGTTCCACAATTCCGTCTGATTACAAATTGAAACCATATTGTTTACCGTGTACCCGCTCTTGAATGCCACTATTCATATATACATGGCCCAGCATGACCAACATGCTACTGTAGTGTTTTGCTTCGATTCCCGAACAGATCGAAATTGCTGGTGCTTGTTTTATGTGCATAGATACAGATAGTTAAGTGAAGAGTATAATGCGACCACTAGGTTTATCTGGCACAGATGAAAGGAACAACCTGAACAGCATTAATTTGTTTGCGGGATTTGTAGCCGAGATATAGAGAGCAAAAGAGAGAGAGAGAGAGAGAGAGAGAGAGAGAGAGAGAGAGAG